AGGTTATTCATAAATTCTGTTGCAGAGCCAGACACTAAATCCAATGCTCCTAAAAGACAGCTATGTAAACACTGGGTGTTTTAGTTGGAAAACTGAACACATTTTTCAGTTTATCCTGATAGTAAAAATAGTTAAAGTCTTTCATGCAGAGGGGTGTGCAGCATACATGCTGATAGAGAGCATGTCTTTTGCTGACCCAAACCTTTCTTTCAACTGAAAATCAATTTTTCATCCAAAGAAAAAGTTCTTTAACATATTTTATGACTTTAGATAATTTTAAAATTCAAAACAAGAGCATCATTTAAAATGCCGAAACATTTTACATTTTGTCTGATAATTGTCAGAATGAACTATTTTGACCTCTCCTTTTTTATAATGTATTTATTTATTTATTTATTTAGTGAAACCATTTTAGAGCAGGAACCTATACCCACAAATACTCTTATTTCCTGAAAAGTGCTTCTCATTAATTTGCTGTTCTCTAAAGATACTTCATCACACTGTGAGTCCAAAGATAGCTTCCTACCCACTGAACTATTTTTCCTTTCTAACGAGTTGCTGGTATTAGAATTATTCTCTTCTAAAAAGTTCAGCTGTGCTACCATCACCAATATTGGCCTCAAAGGCCTTTTAACTTTTAAATTAAAGAGAAGCTTTTAAAAATGAAAAGAAAATCACTCTTTAAGGCATTTGAAATTTTCTCAAGGAACCCTTACGTTAATTAAGACGAAAGGGTTCTTTTTTTTTCTTTTTTTGAATCAAGCCTAATTATAGTATCTGAAAGTACAGCTTCTTTGAACTCCTATTTTATAGAGGAAGGGAGGAGAAGATCCTCAGTATTTTTTTCATATGAAAACAAGTTTTGATCTAATCACATTTGGTTAACCAATTTTAATGGAGTTTGTGCTTCCTTTATGCTCCTAAGAGGTATAGAAGAAAAATAACAGGGGAAAAAAATAACCAACCAACCCCCCACCCCAAAAAAACAAAACCAAACCACAACAACCCACAAAACAAAATAAGTAAAAAAAGACAACACCCCAAACCATAAAGAATGCTGTTGTTACTGTGAACTGTCCTAAGGTAAATTAAGAGGTTGAGGCATAGTAGTATTTATGAACCTTAAAAGCATAAAGCACTGCATTCAAACGGGACTCTAAAGTTCCTGGTTTTCTAGGAAACCTGCTTGATCTGGATCTCAAGGGGATAATCTCAAAAGAAGAGGGTTCAGTCTTATCTTAAACTTCTGGACTGACTCAGAATTCAAGGGTGATTAGAAGCTTCTTTTGCTGATACTTCACTGTATTTATAATTGACACTGTTATCATGGCTCACAGCTCTTCAGACGAAGTGATTTTTCATTGTTGCTCCAACAAAAAAGAGAATTCAAAGGGCAACACCTATCAGGCTGATTGTGCTTTGGCAGAGCCTATTGCTCATCTCTGTAAACAAGCACCATTCTCAGAGCAGCACTGCAGCACCAGGGCATAGCTGAGGATAAGGCAGCTTGTGATCATGTACCCGATTAGCTTCCCTATATTCAGCCTTGGAGCAATATACCTTGTCGGCGCTGATCTCTTCCTCTGCTAAATATCCCACCTAATATCTTCCAACACTGAGTGTAGTGACACACTGCCTCTATTCCAGACAGGAATGCTCTCAGGCAATGCCACCAGGTCAAAGAACAACATACAGATCTCCTGGGGAACCACCACATGTTTGTAATAATGTCTACACTTCTCTGTTAACATTGTGGATATATTAAAACCTGAAAGGCATTGAATGAAGTAAGCAGCCAAGGCTGAATCATGCTGCTGAAGGAGAAGTGGTCTGGGACAGAAGGAAATATGCACTGGTGAAAACTAGTGGAATCTTTTAGCTCCTATATCTGACTTGTTAAAATGTCACCACAGCCAAAGGCAGCAGTCTGTGATCCCAGGGTGACAACAGCTACAGTCCAGACAAGAAGACATCTGCAGAGGTCTTCAGAGAGGCTGTGCCTGACAAAAGCAAGGCTCCTTTGAGCTGCAGACACAAGTTCAACCAGAACCAGAGAAAGACCATATACACGTCACATTGGCAACAGAACAGCCTTCAAATTATAGACCTGAGTTACTAATGAACTTAAATGTTAATTAACCTATACAAGCCTGGAAGAAAATGTTACATTTAGAGTTGTAAAGTGCCCAGATGAATTCATTCAGTGACTTTTTCTGCAGTAAGGAAGCAGTTACTTCACCTTTGCCTGAGTTTGTTCATCTGTGTAATGAAGTTCATGCTACTTAGAAATATATCCCCTAGCAGCTTGGCAATGATCTTTTAAAATGGCACAATGCTGAAAAATGTTAATTATAATCATCGCCATCACTGTGCCCACCTCAAGTAATTATCACATTGCAAAAAAAAAAAAGAAAAAGTACTTGCATTGGAATAATAACGCAATTTATTCATGAAGGGATTGGTTTGTACATATGTCTCATTCTTCTCCAAATGTGAAAATACAGTGAGCTGAAGTTACCCTGTATTTATCCAGATTTAAATTTTAATGAACAAGACCATAAGTTCATGAAATTTTTAAAACCAAAACATGAATTAATACACTTCACAGCCCTTCATGTTCTGGCAAAAAGTATTGTGCACACTTTGGGGTAAATAATGTTTAATTTAATTATTTAGCTGTATACTGAATCCATTTCAGTTCAAGAGAGATAGTGATTAAAATAGAGAGGCCTGGAATCCTAATATCACTATGCAAATTTCCCCCATATTTTTATGCAATCATGTTAAAAACCATATAAACTACCACAATTTTGCTGAAGAGCCTGATTTTATTCCAATTTACAGGTGTCAAAGATCACCTTACAACACATACATAGCTCCTTCTCTAGTGCTAATATGCCTGTCCTAGAGAGGCACGAAACTAAACTAATATTGCAGCTTTTGTAAAGTCAGATGAACTGTTAGCAGATTCAGGTGCTGATGAGAAGATTAAAGCGGCAGATAAGTGGGGAATTAGACTGCCTGGGATGTGGGCAGATCCTATGACTGGAATAGCAGAGAATGCAGAAGGTGAGGAGTGCTCTGCTCCATTAAACACACCAGGAGTGTGAAGGTTAAAACAATCCAATGTGCTTTAAGCTAGTAGCAAATGTGGGTTTACTGCAGGAAGTATGAGAGGGTCTGGAAGGCCACTGGCACTGCCCACTGCAGTAAATATGCTGTATGGCACCTGAGGGGCAGCTGCTGTGCTGGCCAGCTCTCTGTGGCCAGGCCACCACTGAGCACTCAGCTGCTCGCACCGTGGGCCCAGAGCAGCAGTGCAGTGCTACCACTCTCATTGTCTCCACCACAAACAGGGAAAGCCAATAGGAGTCTTTAGCAGGAAGCTGCTCTAGGAATGCTGTTTCAGTGAATGGGCTGTAAAATGTCTGAGTCCCACACAGACAGCCTCTACTGCCAAGGAGGAAGATGGAAAAGCAAGGCTTCTGCTGTGCCTTCTGCTCTCTGCCTCAGTCCAGCCCTTTGCTTTCATAAACATAATATCCATTCATTAAATCCTAATTAAAATTAAACCTTTTAACTCCCTCCTCACCACCCTGACTCACCAGCTGCCCAGGCTCTCACACTGCTTTCAGCCCTTCCTGATTCCTCAGTGCATCCTCACCTTCTCCCCAACAAGGTGAACAACCCTGAAGGTTTTGCTGCTGAAAGCCTCTTCTCTTACAACACTTCTAATCATTCTCTGGTATTTTTAGGTGGCAAGCCAGAAGTTTAACTGAACAAGAAAAGAAAGCAATTTACAACTTCACATAGAAATAGCCACTTCCAGTTCAGGGTGTTTTGGGTTATTTTTTTTTTTTCTTCCTCTTTATTATCAACATTTCTCTGTAATTTATTAATTATCTTTAGTCGAGGAACGTGAAAGGGAGGGGTAGGAGCAAAGGAGATAAGTGCACTTGTCAAAATGTGAAACAGATGTTCTAACAATGATTGGAGGCAATTAATGCTCTCAGTAACTACCAACAGGCAAGGTCCATGAACTGCTTCAAATTTTTGCATCAAACAGCCTTCTGGAAAATGCAAATACAGAAGCTTTATTTTCCAAGCACGTGAAAGCATGTCTTATTTGTAATGAGCTGTCCTAAGGAACTTCACATTGCTGCCTGGAAGTGTGGCTGTTCCGATCATTGCTGGACTAAATAATAACACAGCAAAGAAGGGGGAATTGTGCGGCTGGTAACAGAACCAACAAACCTGTCACTGCTTCCTCCTCTGGTTCAGACTCAGCATGCAAAACAAAGCATTTAGCACTTGTTTAACCTTGAGTTACTCAAAGTCAATAGCACATAAGTATGCACTTAACGGAAGCACATACTTTGTGATTGGCAGGGTAAGCATGCAAATAGCAACAATCTTTGCTGCACTGGCATCCTTTGTTTCTTGCTGAGGAATGACCCTCATGAGACAGCCCTTCAATGAAAGGCCACTCATCTGGTCTCCCATCCAGCACCAAAAAAAAATCAGTACAGCCAAGGAGTTAGCATCAGGCTTCAGTCTGTACCACTGTGGGGAGTGCTGCTGCAAAAGGCAATTACAGTAAATATATAAGAGAGGAAAAAAAATAAAAAATCAATAACGAATAGATGTGATCTACTTACTAACATTTGTAATAATAGTTTATAGTTCTATGCCACATGTAGCTTTCATCTTCTCTCTCTGCATTCTGTGATTTAATTTTCCCTTCTGCTGTTCTGTTATCTAAAATGATCAAACACCTACCATGCCCTGGAAAGTATACCAATTGAAAGCTTCACTTAAATCTCCTTGAATATGCCTGTCACAAAGTTACTTGGAATAAACACATATTTGATATCATATTATTTGAATTCTTCTCCAAGCCTGACTATCATCCACCACAAACTTTCTTTTTACTCATTTATATTCTTCTTCCTCTCACTTTTCCTCCATTTATTCATTATAGATTAAGTAATAATACCAACCTGAGATGATCTTCCTCCTCTTCCAAACCTTTCTCCCAGTATCCCCTCTCTGCCAGCTGGGCAGGAAGAGCAAGGGTGCACACAGGGCAGCTGCTGATTCATTTGTCCTTTCAAGCACTCATCCAGCAGGGTTAAAGAGACTTCTTCACCAGGGAGCCATACTCAGGCCCTTGGATTGAAAAACACCTATCCAAAGGCCTGTTAGATACATTTTATGGCAATGAGTTCTATGTTAAATATAAAATAGCATATTTTTACATGCTATGACAAAAGAACATTTTTTTTTATCCCTGTTTGCCTTAATCCTGTTACCATGTCTATTATAAACAAGAGAAAAATATACATCAGCCAGATCAGACCATAACCAGAGTTTACTTAATGGCAGCCATCAAATGCTCTAATTTTTTTTCAGTGCAAGGACTTCAGCCCTGCTAGGCATCAGCACTACAGGAATTTAAGACAGTGCGTACCTTAGTTTATGGCCACTATTGCATAAACTCTGGAAAGATTCACAGCCAATTGGTAAGAAAAATTGATGTCTGCAGCAACAGGAGCACTAAAGTTTGATCAGCATGTAAATCAAGAGCTGCTGGAGAAAAGTATGGCAAAACAGGAATCCTGGTCATTGTAGTATTACTGTGGTTTAGGTCTTGAGGGTTTTCCAAGGTGACAACATTCAACTACTCTAAAAGGAGCCAACATGCTAATTTTCCTCTCTAGCACTTTATCTTCTGGAATGAATCAACTATCCAAACATACAGCTGATTAAACTGAATTGCTATCACTGGCCCCATATCAGGAACAAATTTGATTCAGGGGATACATTATTCTTTCAAATGCTGGGGTATGACATTTTTAACCATGCAGATGTGACTTAAAAATATTTACAGGGAAGCCACCTGGGAAAGGAAAAAGTATAGTTTTTCCCAGTCGTTATTAACATGTGGCATCCATGCATGGCATGCAATATGAAAACTGTGTGAAAAGATCCACCTTCATAAAAGACAGGCCAGTTCCTCTGCATGCATGAAATGTGTATTTCTTCTCTAACAGTAGTTCAGATACTGAGGTAATCTATTCTTCTTTCTCGTTCACAGACACATTTATTAGCAGAGTTAATAAGACAGTCTTTGTCAGAACATACTGTCTGTTGTCAAAAATCTAAGGATTAACACTGTATTGCGTGTTTGAATAGAATTACTTTCCCATAAGATTTGCTGTACCAAGTTAGTTACATGGTCCAGTAGGTCCGGTGCCCTGCCAGATGGCAATAAATAAATGGCAAATAAATAAAATTTCAGATAAATGTTTAATTCTAGGACACCATCTCATTACAAAATGCATTATGTACCTTGATAATTGTTGCAGTACAGCACCTGGAAGGAAGCAATTCCTTCCGACCTCTGCAGGCAATTAGTTTATGCCCTGAAACCTGGCATTTGATTACCTTTATCTGCCAGGCATAGCTAAAACACCATTACCAGAGATTCTTTTATGATTACAGCAGCCTTATCACATCTCCTATTATGATAAGGAATAGTAAAGCATTCAGAAAACTCTGTAGTAATCCAGATGATTTAGATTTCAATAATAAGAGCTGGGTGCTGGGTAAAGGAGCATGTTCTCCCACTCCAAATCGCTCATAAATATGTAGACTCTAATAACTAATTATCTCAGATTTTCAGGAGATTATTTTTCTAGGAACCTGTCAACAGCGATTTTCTTTTAGATGTAGTTCTAGCTTCTCAGATACAGTCAGTTCTTGGTTTCCAGACATTTGGTAAATACCCGGAGGAGGATCTTCTTTTTTTATGATGTGTCTCCCTCAGTCTGAACTAATTAACTGCTACAAACGTGGAAAATATCTATTTTCCCATGGTGCTGAACTTTTCAAATCTTTCCATTTGCAAGATCAGATCCAGTCCAATCAAACTGCATGCCACCTGGCTCCTCCGCATCACTTCTTGCAGTGGAATTAAATAAAATTATCATTTCTAATTTGAAAATAAAAGTGGAAAATAATTATTCAGCAGTGATCCGGATGGCCCTTTAATTAGGGCTTTGTGTTCTCCCAAAACACAACTGGTTGTAGGTTTGTGCTGGGTTTCAGCTCCTAAAAGTGGCAAGTGCTGTAGGTTCTTCTGAAGAGGTCTTGGGAGGTGGGGGAAGCAAGAGCTGGGTTTTTTACCCCACAGCATCCCCTACTGTTGCTTTTAGGAATGGTACTGATTCACTTAACAGGCACTTTCCCTCCGTCCTGGGCAAGAAGGAAGGGCAGGGCAGTTGCCAGGGCTTTCTAGCAGACCTGCCCGCAGGATACTCACCGGTGACTCTTTAAAGGAAAACTGTTGCCCAATAATTCGAAATAGCCTGTGTTTCAGTACCACAAAAATATCAATGCCTAACTGGAGTAGCAATTTTCTGGGGAGCCTTGACCACGGCAAGAGACACTTGCTAATTAATGTAAACCAGATCATCTCAAGCCACTGTGGTTTCTCCCAGCGAGCCCTATTCCCCTGCAGAACATATAACCATGTTTCAGTATGTGACAGCTGTGAGCCCCAAATCTGCTTCTAAGTGTGCATAGAAAAAATGAGAGTTTGAATGCACTAGAGATTTTTTGTTTTATTTTGTTTTGCAAATACCTGTATGCCTACTCAAAAATGTGGAGCATTTCTGAATGCCTTAATACTGAAAAGTATACTTACCAAATCCTTTTCTCCCAAAGGAACCTGCAAATGCAAGTTTCAATTCTCTTTTCTAGGGGTATTGAATTTTCGATTTCTGTATGAACAAAAGTTTGCAGAATATATATGCAGGTGGAGGCAGGGGTCTGAATATGCATCTACTGATTTCTCTGCATCTTACTTTCTTTACCTATTAAATCAGGATAACAGTACTTCTGCACCTCCCAGGAGTGTTGTGAAATCTTACTCATTAAAGTTTGTATAGAATTTTGAGATCCTTGGTGGCAGATGCTACACAAGTGCAGAAACACATCACTTGATATATATGAATGGCAATTCACTCACTGCCTCAACGGTGTTCGGTAAGGGAGTAACTGAAGAATATCAAATGCTGCAAGCCCAAATGAAAACGAGCTCATCAAAATAAACGATTTACCACAGGCTTCCAAGCACCCTGCTTCCTGCAGATGAGACGAAGAGTTCATCCCCTTCTCTGCTTGACAACAGAGAATAAGCCATAGCATTGCACATCATGAACAGTGGTTGTAGCATTCTTCTCTGTTGGAGAGTTTCACTTTATTGTACAGCCCCATTAACTGATGAATGGAGGTCAGAATGGTTCATGTTATCATGGTGAGTACAAAAAAAAACTTGACCCAAACATGGAAACTAAACAGACTTTCATCATGAAAGTGTGAGTATTGCCTTATTAGAGTGTATTTCCCTCCATTTCTATTCTAATCATAGGAAAGAGCTTATGGAAGGAAATAGAAAAAGAAACAAACAAAATGCAACAAAAAAAAAAAAAACCACAACCAACCAACTAATTTTTAATTTGATGGAAGGATCCACTTACATTTCTATCTGCTTTAAAGAAGGAACAATTTCTGCAACCCTAGTTCTGGGAAAAGCAACCAATCTGAATTCTAATCTAATGTTATAGTTTATACTGACACAGCTACCCAAGCCCCTTCTGCAGACAGTCTAGCTCCTTGGAATATTAAAGTTGCTAGCAGATTCATCAGTCCCCAGTACTCCTCAATTTCTGGAATAAAATTTTTCATAAAGCAGGACTTTTTGGTTCTGCTGAATCTATTCAAATTTTCTGTACCTATAAACTTGAAGCTTAGACTGCACAGCTGACCCAATTTGCCCTTCAAACAAAAGAAGTCTGCTAATGAAATTTCTAACACTCACTCCAGCTTGACTAGAACTAGTTCAATCCCATCTTATCTTGTGACTGGCCAACTATGTTACAACTCAACCCAAGGTGCTTAAAAGAGCAGCTTCAGCTGCATAATTAAAAAAGAAATGCGAGAAGAATTTTAAACCAGACCAGGACACAGAGGTTTTAGAGTAATTTTTTCTTTATCCAGACCAGTTTATTCAAGTCCAGGACAGCCCTGTACCCCAGCCAGGTTCTGTAACTTGAATCAATCTTCATCCTGAGCAACACTGTAGGTACCCAAGAGGGAAATACTACTACATGCCTTAAATAAGGGTGCTGGTCATAGAGCCCAATCCAAATTCCTTTTCAATCTGTGGCAACCTTTCAAATACCTTTGAATCAGAAACTTAGTTTTTAACTAATTTGCTAAGCATATGGAGCTTCAGAAGCCGAACTGACAGATGAGAAGTGCAACTTATTTCTTATACACCTTTTACTCCCATTGATTTACCAGATCAGCCTGAATGAAAGATTTTAGCTTGAATCTTACCCAAAAATTCAAGTCATCTGAATGATGTTTTTACCAGAAAGTTGGCATAAATTATTTGTAAACAAAATAAAGTAATTCTGAAAACTGAGGAGGAAGATAGCATTCCCTTTCCATTCCATCTTTACTTTAGAAATTGTTATTCATTTTTCATCTTTTTACAATTCATGAACAAGTAATGTATTCTTTTCTAGTGCTTTCTTTAAAGGAGATCAATTATTTCCATTGTTAATTACAAGGCTTTCTTCTAATTAAACAAAATTATAAGGCATTATTCTAGTCAATAAACTAATCATGGTTGTGGCAAATTAAGGAAAAGCCATCAACTGATCTTGAGACCATGATTTAGAGAACTTTAAGGATGTGATTTTTACATGTCTTGAAAAAGCAAAGAAATCTTACATGCACTTTTAGTCACTGTTTGGAATGTACAGAAGAAATATTAGTCCTTTGAAATTAGCATAGTGTCTCTGGAAATTTCTAGCTGCACTACCTACATTTCACTTGGTGTATCCTTGCAATGTCGTTTTGGTTGGATCAGGACAGGAGCACTGAATCTCTCTTTTTTATTGCACTGTTACTCTCTAAAATTCCATTCCAGGTAAATCAAAATCATTCCAAATAATGAAAGTGGTATTTTTTTGCTTTCACAATAATACAAAAAAAAATAATTCAAGTGTTATGAAGACTTTCATGAATTCTCCCTTAAAAATACTATAATCATAATTACAGAAGCAAAGCATGGTTGTGACAACTTGGCAAGGGGCTGAGAAAGTTGCATTAGCTCTACTTTGCAAATAAAATTTTGAGAAGCAGCATAGTGTGGTGTTTTGTTGGAAACAAATATAAAGTTACTAGCAAGTCAGGCTTGAATTCAAAAGCAGGAACTTCAACTGTTGCTTATTTGTTTTCTTGCTTTTGTTCATCTTCAAGACTGTTTTAGTTCTTTTTTTTTTTTTTT